TCTGTGAGAACATAGCATTGTTACAAAGCCTTGGAACGAAACAGGAGGGAGAGTCACAGGCCAGAAGCTAGGTGCAGCAACAGGGCAGGGTGTGAGACCATGGGCTGGACTAGCAAGGGGACTGTAAGTCAGGACAGAAGTGCATTGGCAGAGTTGGGTGGTGCACCCCATGCCCAGCACTACTTACCCACTCTTTTCACATGCACTAAATTCACTCCCAAATTTTCAAAGAAACAGGACTACTTGCAGGAGACTTTGCCCGGAACAGCACATACCCGAAATCCCTGCCTTTCAGAGCAACAGAACAGTGCCCACATTGTGCCGCAGGTATGGATTTCCACTGAGCAAACCACGGCCATTCTGGATGTATCACACCAAGTCATTCCATCAGAGCGAGTCACGGAGATCCACCTGCAAGGGCAGCACTGTTCCAGTGCTCTCTACGGGAATAGCCAAACACCTACTGGATAATGACACTGAGTGGTAAGAACTCCCAGCGAGAGGTATCTTTTTCGTGTTGCTCTGGAAAGTGTTGTACAGTCTATTATGTTACTGCCTTAGTAGCACAGGACAGCCAGAAAGGCAGCTGAGATACCAATTTTCTTTAGAGTGATTGTTAGTATTAAAATTATATCCCCATTGTGCTGTACAAACACAGAGTGAGAGAGAGTCCCTGTGCCAAAGAGCTCACAGTAATATAACTGTGATGTTACTAAATCTCCGGAAATACCTGGCGTCCTCACTGCCTGGCATGCAAGAGGCAATAACTCACCTATGGAGTCCAGAGGACAGGTGGCACTGAGCCGGGGGTTGGCTGATTCAGGGGCATTCAGGTCCTACCTGAAACTTCAGCCACAAGAGGAATGGCACCTTTCCTGAGGGGCATCCCGCTTTCAAAAATGCTGGTTCAGTCCCACACACCAGTGAGCTCTCAGGCTCCCAGCAGAGACTGAAGGGCTGAGATGCCACAGCCAAGGCTGCTCCTTGGCTGGAAGCACTGGAAGGAATCTCATGAGACAACCTCTTCTCAGGAGATTTCCAGCCCGGATTTGAGGACCCACGGGACTTGAATATACAGCTGCTAAAAGCAGAGGGGAGCTCCCACCTCATTCTGCTCCCTGGACTGGCTGAGCAGTGCTCCCCCACAGCACCCCCCTCCTCTCCCTGTGAGAGGCAGGGGGTACCCGGAAGCAACCAGACTCTCACCTGTATGTCCCTTCACCCCAGTAAAGGGGGTTCTGCCTGCCTGAGGGGGGAGGGGACCACTTGTCTATCCACTCTCCTTAAAGGGTCCTGCAATGGGCCGCAGATACAGATCAGCAATAACTTCATCTCGTCCTTCCCTCCTCCTTCCATCCATCTCCCCCCATCAACACCGCATGCTCCCCCCACTGTCCGCCCCCACCCTCCTATTCTGGGCAGGCCATTCGACGCCCAAACACTACCCCAGCCTTGCGTTCATAGTCCCAGCAGCTGCCCAGCTCACCCCCCGCAGCCAGTGCCACTGACTGGGATCCACACTCCAGATCTTCGCATGATGTTCTAGATACAGGTGCTTTCCCTGTAGCACAGTCCTGCTTTCACCAGCTCTCCCCTCTCTATTTCATCCCACACCTCAATTGCTGTTAAAAGACAAGAGAGCAAATGAAAGCAGCAGAACTGGCTAAAGGAGGACTTCCCCATAAGGGGGTATCTGCAAGCTAGCAAGTATTTCATGGCTGTACCCTATATTTGTGTACCACTTTCCTGAAAGCACTTCCCACATGATTCCTTGAGGAGGCCTTCCTGCAGCCTGGCCCATCACTATCCCCATTTCACTTATGGGGAAACTGAGGCACACACCAGTCAAGTGACTTGCCCAAGACACCCAGCGGATCAGTGTCAGAGCCAGGTACCCTAACATCCTAGTCTCCTTCCATAACCAGTAGGCAACCACCCCCTTATACAACAGGAATTCCCTCTGGCCAGCAGCCGAAGTCACTGCTTCCCCAGTCTTCCTCTTTGATACGAGTTCAGCCCTTTGAGTTTCTCCTTCCCAGCTCAGCTCCCCTCCCTGCAAGGCAATCACAGCCCCATTTCCACACAGCGAATTCGGTCTGAAACTCAGCACTATGGTTTCACTGCAGGATCAACTAGGAAAGAGAAGCCAGGCTGGGGGGAGCAAAAAGCCTGCGTTAGATTTTCTTGTGGGCTTATGGTAGCATAAGACAGGCCTTGAGTCTCAGATGAGGCCCCAGCTGTGGAGAGTTTGCTGAGCGGGGAAGCTTTGCTATACAAAGTGCTCGCAATGTGGATTGGGTGGGGGCCACTGAAGCCAGGATGGTGGGGGACACACCAATTCAATTGCCTCCGTGGCCTGGGTTCCCACAGTGCAAAGCCCCAGCTGCAGATTAAAGGTGCCCTGCCCCCCAGCAGAAACCACCTGCCCACATGTGGGGTGAAACGTCCCCGGTGCCTGGGGCAGCTGAAACTAGTGAACGTGCTGAAACTAGTGAACATGGCTGACGTGCATTCGGAAGGGGGAAGAGGAGGAGACAGAACAGATGAATGGCAAGTGCCCAAGTGTGGAAGGGCTTTGTGAAGGGAGAGTGATCTGGTGCAGGGTTCATGACACAGCTGTCCCTCCTTGACACTGAGCATCAAACTGATGGCCAGAAGCAGTGATTAATTTATAATGAAAGAGGTGCCGGGGCTCAAGCAATTTTTTTTACTTTCATAAGTGATGTGGAAACCCAGAGGTGCCGGGGCTGAGCCCTGGCACAAACTAAGCACTGGCTGGAAGTGCACAGGCAAGCACCCCCTGAGGATAGTCCAGCTGTTAACCAGTTCACTAGCCCTACTGTAAGCAACGAGGGGATATTTCCCACTGCCAAAATGGCGTTTTCTTGCCCAAATTCCCTAGGGCAAACACCTGTCACTAGAACCTACCCCCATATTTTCCATTGTGGTTCACACCAAAATCTGCATCCAACATGCATGCAAACAAGAAGGCAGTTTCAAGAGTTCCCTCTTGCACGGTGCCCAGGGTTCCATGCATGCAAAGCAGGACTTGCCCCGTGGTGGGATGCAAACACACCCAGAGAAGTTAAATGCAGCAGTGTCTGGGAGAGCAGTGTGGAGGTGTTAACAGGAGAAGCTGTGGAATAATTTATCTGGGGAGATTTAGGATTTTCCCTCCTTTAAAAATGGAACCCTGACAGACAAGAGCCAATCAGGTTCAAGAGAAGCCCAGAGGGCTTCTCACAGGTGCACAAGGACTGAAATTCTTACAAAGGAGCAGCCAGCCCTCCTCCAGGAATTTCTGAGCTTGCAGCCATTCCCAAGAGATTCCAAGCCAGTCACATGCCATCATGGTGCAGGCTGGCCTCTTTCATTAGAAAGTCTCTGAAAAATGGATCTGCATTTTCCCCAGCTTCTGCAGGTTGACGGGGCAGTAAAAGGGAGATAATGTGACCTCTATGCATCTGTGTGCAAGACCCAGCCTGCACAGTTCTAGCAGCACCTGTTAGTTACATACCAAAACCTCTTTAATTTAGAACAAACTGAAACACAGCACATTCAGAGGGCCAAATCTCAGCCCTGATCCAGCCCCTTCATGAGGCTTTGGCAGCTTACAGGGCGCCTAAAGTTCGTTTACCTGACCTCCTGGGCAGTGTAGATCTGATTTATCTCCACCTCTTTGTGGCTACCCCAGCTGGTGGACCAGCCCCTTGAGGGTCATTGTAACCAGAGACAATTTACTGCAGCCTCAAGGCTACTCTAAACTGTGACAGACTGAACCTGCCCCCAGCCAGCCCCAGAGGACGGGGATAAATGTGGTGTGAAGCCACCTTTGTCCCCAACTCCCCCCAGCTGAGGAACCACCCCTAAGATATTCAATGTTTCTGAATAGGGAAGAAAGTCCTCTCTCCTAGCAGCGTTTCTACAGCACCCACCACCAGGGGCCCTGGATTCCCACACAGAGATGTGGTAATCCACTAGCCATTCAGCATTTCATAGAATCATAGAATATCAGAGTTGGAGGGGACCTCAGGAGGTCATCTAGTCCAACCCCCTGCTCAAAGCAGGACCAATCCCCAAGCAGATTTTTACCCCAGTTCCCTAAATGGCCCCTCCAGGATTGAACTCACAACTCTGGGTTTAGCAGGCCAATGCTCAAACCACTGAGCTATCCCTCCCCGCTCACAGCGCGGGGTTCACACAGGAAACTGGAGCACTAGGCTCTCCCCCGGGGAAGAAGTTCTAAGCAATGCCAACTATGAAGGCAAGTATCTAAACCCCTGACAGCGTTCAACCAGGGAGCGCCTCGCTGGAGCGAGCACTGCTCCTCCTCCTCCCCGGAGATCCAGCGTCCCAGCAACCCGCTACCTCGGGGGTGCACTGACAGACCGCACCTGCAGCCCCGTCCTCGAGCCCCGCAACATACACCCCGATCCGCGCTGGGGTGGGCAACTGTGAGGGGAGCCCCCGCGTGGCCATGGGGCAGCCTGGCCAAAATGCCTCCCTGGGCCACGGGCCGGAGCTGAAACTTCGCAGGAGGCTGAACCGCCGGGGGGAAGCGGGGGCTCTGGCTAGTCATGCCCGGCCCTGGGACTGCAGGGACCCCCCCCACACACACACGCCGGGGCAGCCAGTGGCTGCTGGGCAAGGGACCGCACCTGCCTCGGCGCGGTGCACGCAGCGCGCTGGGGCCGGAGCGGGCGGGCGCTGCACCGACCCCGGGCGCTGCCCTCCCGCCGCAGCTGCCCTGGGCAGCTCCTTGCACCGTCCCCGGCTACTCGCCCGTGGACGCTTGGGGGCTCCACAACGCCCCGCTCGCCTCTCTGCATGAGGCGTCCCGGGAAGCCCGCCCCGCTGGAGGACCCCAGCCAACCCCCCGCACCGAACCAGTCCGCCAGCCAGAGCCGGGAAGCGGGCATCGGCTGGGCCAGCAAACCCCGCGGCGGGGCGGGGCGCAGGGAGAAGCTCGCGTGCAGCGCTGCTCGGATGCCGCCGCTTACCTCGCCCGGACTCTGGTGCAGCGCGGACCGCCTGCAAACTCCGCAGCTGGGCTCGGGCGCCTCACGGAGCCAACCCCCGCGGCCTGGGCAGCCGCCAGCCCCGCGGCATCCTCCGGCGCCCCCTGCCAGAGGAGCGGACTGCGTTTGTCCAGGAGCTCGGCGCGCCCCCTGCTCCGACCACACACACGCGCGCCGCGCTGCTGCTGAGCCTCGGCGCCGCTCTGTGTGTGGCTGTGCCAGCCCTGCGCTCCTCCCCGCCCACCCCCGGACTGCAGGGTCCCACCCCCGCGTGCCCGGCGGGATCCCAGCCCCCAGGGCCCCCCGGGGGGGGGAGGCAGCGCGAGCCTTCTGTGCAGTCCCTGCAGTCACCCGCTGCGCTGCGAGCCCGGCCTGGGGAGAGCAGTGCTGGGGCATCCTGGCTGCGTCTACGTGTGTCCCCCCAACTCCATGCGGGGCTGGGTATGAAAACCCCTGCTCTGGCTCTTTTGCAAAGCTATGGGGGGCAGGAGCTGACCTGGGCATGCCCCTAGCTCAGGCAGGCTGAGCATGGCTCCCTCATCCTTATAAATCCACATGTGAACCCAGAGCTGGGCAGGCAGCCTTGGAAGATGAAGGATTCTTAAGTCACAGAACAGGTGTGACCCAATGCAGGCTTCCCTCCCATGCTGCCCACCCCAGCGCAGTTCCCCTTGCCCTGGAGGGGTCACCCCTGGGGCAACAAGATAGTTCAGCCTCTATGTGGCTTGGCTTACTCAAGGCTTGGCCTTTTTCAGCTGAGGAGATGCTAACTGCTCAGGCACCAACTGATGCTGCTGGGTCTTTGCAAGCTGGAGACACTGACTAGGACCACCAGGGTGCAGCTCTGTGGCACAGGCTGGTGAGCAGAACGTCTTTCAGTCACTAGTGATCTGTGCCGAGTTAGACCCACTGGCCTAGCCAGGGGGAGCTCTATTGCCCAGGCTCAGTCACTCTCCAGCCTCTCTCTAATGGCTGGACACTGGTTACTCAGGCAAAGCCCTCTAGCCATTGCCACCATCTATGGAATATAAAGTCAAAATACAAAACATAAGAACAGCCGGGCTGGGTCAGACCAATCCTCCATCTAGCCTAGTATCCTGTCTTCCAACAGAGGCCAGTGCCAGATGCTTCAGAGGGAATGAACAGAACAGAATCCATTCCCTATTGTCCACGGCCAGCTTTGTTAGTCAGAGATTTAGGAACACACAGAGCATGGGGTTGCATCTCTGACCATCTTGGCTAATAGCCACCGACAGACCTATCATCTGTGAACGTATCTAATTCTTTGTTAAATCCAGTCATACTTTTGGCCTTCACAATATCCCCTGGCAACAAGTTCCATAGGTTGACTGTGCGTTGTGTGAAGAAGTACTTCCTTATCTTTGTTTTAAACCTGCTCCATATTCATTTCATGACCCCCCATTCTTGTGTTAGGTGAAGGGGTAATAATATTTCCTTATTCATTTCAAATCACCATTCATTATTTTATAGACCTCTATTATATCCCCCTTTGGTTATCTCTTTTCTAAGCTGAACAGTCCCAGTATTTTTTGTCTCACATCATATGGAAGTTGTCATAACTATAAAGGAAAGGGTAACAACCCTCCTGTATACAATACTATAAAATCCCTCCTGGCCAGAGACACCAAAAATCCTTTTACCTGTAAAGGGTTAAGAAGCTCAGGTAACCTGGCTGCACCTGACCCAAAGGACCAATAAGGGGACAAGATACTTTCAAATCTCGGGGGGGGGGGAAGGCTTTTGTTTGTGCTCTTTGTTTTGGTGGTGTTCGCTCTTGGGACATGGGACTAAGAGGGACCGGACATCAATCCATGCTCTCCAAATCTTTCTGAACAAGTCTCTCATATTTCAAATTTATAAGTAATAGCCAGGCAAGGCGTATTAGTTTATCTTTGTTTTTCTCAACTTGTGAATGTTCCCTTTGCTAGAGGGAGGTATCCCTGTTGTGCTGTAAGGGCTCTTTTAATCTGATTACCCTGTAAAGTTATTTTCCATCCTGATTTCACAGAGATGATTTTTACCTTTTCTTTTTAATAAAATCTTTCTTTTAAGAACCTGACTGGTTTTTCCATTGCCCAAAGACCCAGGGGTTTGGGTCCTTGATCACTTTGTAACCAATTGGTTAGGATATTATTCTCAAGCCTCCCCAGGAAAGGGGGTGTAAGGGCTTGGGGGGATATTTGGGGGAAAGAGGAAGTCCTTTCCCTGTTTCTTGTTAAATCACTTGGTGGTGGCAGCGTACCAGGTTTTAACCTAAGCTGGTAGAAATAAGCTTAGGGGGGCTTTCATGCGGGTCCCCACATCTGTACCCTAGAGTTCAGAGTGGGGAAGGAACCCTGACAGAAGTTGTTCTATACCCCCTAATCATTTTGGTTGCCCTTCTGTATACTCTTTCCAATTCTAATATATATTTTTGAAATGGGGGTGACCAGCACTGCATGCACTATTCAAGGTGTGGGCATAGCACTGATTTATATAGTGGCATTATGATATTTTCTGTGTTATCTATCCCATTCCTAATGGTTCCTAATGTTCGGTTAGCTTTTTTGACTGCCGCTGCACATTAAGCAGATGTTTTCAGAGAGCTATCCACAATGACTCAGAGATCTTTCTTGAGTGGCAACAGCTAATTTAGACCTCATCGTTTGGTATGTATAATTTGGGATTATGGTTTCCATTGTTCATTACTTCACACTTACCAAGATAAAATTTCATCTGCCATATTGTTGCCCAGTCACCCAGTTTAGTGAGATCTTTTTGTAACTCTTTACAGTCAGCTTTAGACTTAACTATCTTGAGTAGTTTTGTATTGTCTGCAAATTTTGCCACCTCACTGATTACCCCTTTTTCCAGATCATTTATGAATATGTTGAACAGAACTGGTCCCAGTACAGAGCCTTGGTGGACCCCACTATTTATATATAAGAACATAAGAACGGCCGTACTAGGTCAGACCAAAGATCCATCTAGCCCAGTATCCTGTCTACCACCAGTGGCCAATGCCAGGTGCCCCAGAGGGAGTGGACCAACAGGCAATGACCAAGTGATCTCTCTCCTGCCATTCATCTCCATCCTCTGACAGACAGAGGCTAGGGACACCATTCTTTACCCATCCTGGCTAATAGCCATTAATAGACTTAACCTCCATGAATTTATCCAGTTCTCTTTTATCTCTCTCCACTGTGAAAACTGTTTATTCCTATCCTGTGTTTCCTATCTTTTAACCAGTTATTGATGCATGAGAGAACCTTCCCTCTTATCTCATGACTGCTTACTTTGCTTAAGAGCCTTTGGTATAGGACCTTGTCAATTTCATCATGGTAGGTGTGAAGTAATGAAGAGTGGAAAACATAATCCCAACTATACATACAAAATTGTCCACATGCTTGTTGACCCCCTCAAAGAATTCTAGATTGGGGAGGGATTATTTCCCTTTACAAAAGCCATGTTGACTCTTCCTCAACATATCATGTTCACCTGTGTGTCTGATAAATCAGTTCTTTACTCTAGTTTCCATCAATTCAGCCAGTGGTACTGAAGTTAGGTTTACCAGCCAGTAATTGCCAGTATCACCTCTGGAGCCTTTTTTAAAAAAATCAGTGTTTATATTAGCTACACTCCAGTCATCTGGTACAGAGGCTGCTTTAAGCCCTAGGTTACATACCACAGTTGGTAGTTCTGCAATTTCATATTTGAGTTCCTTCAGAACTCTGGGGTGAATGCCATCTGGTCCTGGTGTCTTATTACTGTTTAATTTATCAGTTTGTTCCAAAACCTCCTCTACTGACACCTCAGTCTGGGACAGTTCCTCAGATTTATCACATAAAAAGAATGACTCAAGTAGGGAATCTCCCTCACATCCTCTGCAGTGAAGACCAATGCAAAGAATTCATTGAGCTTCTCTGTAACAGCCTTGTCTTCCTTGAGTGCTCCTTTAGCATCCTGATCATCCAGTGACCCCAGTGATTTTTTTGGAAGGCTTCCTGCTTCTGATGTACTTAAAAAAATTGCTGTTAGCTTGTGTGTCTTTTGCTAGCTGCTCTTCAAATTCTCTTTTTTGGCCTTTTTTATACTTTTGCATTTGACTTGCCAGAGTTCATGCTCGTTTCTATTTTCCTGAGCAGGATTTGACTTCCAATTTTTAAAGGATGCCTTTTTGCCCCTAAGTGCCTCTTTTAATATAGTTTCCATGTCATTTGCAGGCATTTTACCCTTGTGACTGTTTCTTTTAATTTCCATTTAACTAGCTTCCACATTTTGTGTAGTGACTCACCGAAGGTCACCCAGGATGTCTGTGGCAAAGCAGGGATTTGAACCCAGGACTCCCAAATCCTAAATTAGTGGCTGGACCATCCCTCCTCCTAGATCTGGGTCCAAACTGCTGCTCTGCCCCATTGCTACTGAAAACATATAAAGAAGTACATTCCCAAGACTTCCGTCCCCTTGCTTACACAACGCCCATTATTTCACCCAATTAAATGTTTTCTTGCTGATAAGGAAGGCCTGTAAAGTTTACTCATAGTCTTAAACCTGCACTGAAATGATTTCTAACTTGGATAAAGTATGTGGGGAAACAAATACCGCAATTAGAACAAAGGCTCTTGAAGCTCTATACATCCAAGATTCAGACTTGGCATGGAGCTAACCCAGAGGCACAATGCCGCAGCCTAATCAATGTTGTCATCACTGTTCAGTGGCAAACTGCTCCCACAGCGAACACCCAGCCCTCCCTCTCCTCTCCCATCCTCTATGTTAGAGCTGGTCAAGTTCTCTGCAGTGAATCTGAAGCACTGAGTCCTTTTTTCTGTTCCCATGGTACCCACTGAGGTTGGATTTTTTAAATTGTATTTTATTTTTACTAATTTGTTCATTATACATAAAGGCTGGGAAAAACCCATTTCAGCCAATGGTTTATCTGCCAGCTGAGTGTTGGCTCTTTGTGCCCTGAGCCTGGTCACATGGGATTGTTTGTGATACCTGCTTGGATGACCTTCATGAAACAGGAGGTGCACCCTTTTTTGTCTGCAATCCATTCACAGTGAGCTTGTTATCATTGGACAACTCTACTAACAATGAAGAGCATTTCAAGACTGCCCCAGGGGCACTTCCCTCTCATAAAGATATACCCACATCCATAGTCCCAAAGGTTTTGCTTGCTGTGAATACTCT